ATGCTATACCACTTTAGGTACTACACTTCGTCAGTTGATACAAACATGTTTCATATTGTCTATACTCATATATAGTATAACCAGAGGGGGAGAGAGGAAGAGAGAGAGAGAGAGAGCACAGCTAGCCAACCTAAGTTACTTATGCTAATAATTTCAGTTAATAAAGTTGCACCGCGTAGCAAATACATTTTACCCCTAATAGCCAACTTTTAGCAATGCAGACAGCGAAGTTCGAACTAGCTAATGAAATTTAACTGCTGTTACTAAGTCGTATCTCTGAGTCAGCTCTCATATTTAAGATCTCAGGTTCATCTTCGGATGCTTCGTAGCCAATGAAATGATACGTATAGCATCTGAAAATTAACTCGAGACGATCTTGAAATATGAGATCTGGCTGTGAGTACTGCTCATGCGATCGCTAATCATGCTCTCCTTATTGTGAAATTGAAACGATATTATACGTTAAGCTCAATTAAAAAAAACTACTTAGAATTAAATTCAGACGCTACAACAAAGATATAAACTAGATCGCATGATGTTGCTAAAAACGTGAGAAACTAATTTCTTTCTTATTTTTTTACATGCATTTTGATCTATACATACTGGAACTTATATCTTAATCTCGTATAAAATATTTGTATTATACAAGATACCTTGTATAATTTCCTCTTTCCTAAAACGTCGCATTAAATGGTATGATTTAAATAAATATGGATGCAAACATGGTTATCCACTTGGCAAACATAGTTATCCACTTTACTTGCACTTGTGTAACACATTTGGTTACATTTGATGAAAAGTTTTAAATTTTGGCATGATTTCGTGTTAATAATCAAAATTTTAACTTTCAAATACCTATTCTTTTGAAAACACAACTTTTGCCGATCAAAATTATAAAATAAAATAATTAATTCGACATTATGTGTCTAAAAATTATTTGTATTTTAGGAAAAGTTAGTATTGCGCAGATTAATCATTATTACTCGCAATATGGTTACAAGCAATTTTTTTATTCTATCTGCTGGCGGGGAGGGCCAATTTCATATACGCCACATAATATTAAAAGAGCCAAATATTTTGTGGCAAAATTGTGACACAGGGAAGGGAAGATAAAAAATCCTCAAGTTAGCGTGACCTAATTATTAAATGGACTCTTATTCCAATTAAACGAATGAATAAATAAACAGATAAATAGAAAGGCATGTTTAGCACTCGCGATATTTCCGGAATACGATTCCCGATTCCTGCATCGTCGTCGACATCCGTCCGATCAGACGACGATTCCGATCGGCCTCGCATGGAAGAGAGCACGCGACGAGTTCGCTCGGACTGATCCCTTTGCCCCCCCTTCCTCTTCGTCGACGAAGATCGCGTCGTTACACCCGAGATTCGTGTACTATTTTCGCGACGATAAGCAAGGTCGTTCGGCGAACTGGATACCATCTCACCGGCGGCAATAATAATACCTCCGCCGAACCGTCGTTCGGCCGCGCGTGCGACGTCGGGATCGTTTCGGCGTCCGATCAACGGAGGCTCCGAGCCGTCGACGCCGACGTGGTCGTCGCTCCGAATGCCCGTAAAGGCGCGGGAAGTCGCGGCAGGACTTTAGATAGCCCTAATGGAGAAAGAGACGTTACGGGCGAAGGGTGTCTTCCTCGCGTTATTACGGAAATGCGAACGACCGAGAGAGAAAGAGAAAGACAGATAGAGATGGAGAAAGATAGAGAGAGAGAGAGAGAGAGAGAAAGGGAGGAACAGAAGCGGCGGTGGGCTTGCGACCGCGAGATACACACTTGCGGCTGCATACGCGCGTACGCGGGGGGTGAGACACCGGTGCAAACCAGAGGATGGGGCAGGGGGGAGTAGAGGTGATGGCGGCGGCGAAGATTCGCGTAGAATCCCAATGGCTAAGTGGTTATCTTATCTTAACGGCCGCGGTGCAGCATCTCGCCGGCAGTCTGCCACCCTCTAACGCTCCCTAAACGGAAATTAACACCCTCCCCTACGCTCCCACCCTCCTCCCCTCGGCCGCGAGTAGTCAGCCCCGAGAAGCCCGGCGGCGACGCAAAAATCAATGGATATTATATCGCGACTCCGGGGGGGGGGGCGGGGGGGAAGCTTCCGTCGCGTTTCTCCTACACGTGCCCCCCTCCCCCCTTCCTTCACCTTTCCTTCTACGATCGCTCGCGAGTCTCCTTATCGTCGTGACGATAGCCGAGCAGCCGCGGCAACTTCGTGGAAAAACGCGATATCTGCGGAAGGAATGGCGGAAAGGCGAAGGAAGGGGGGAAGGGGGGAGAGAGAAATCCGGCGGCCGGATTGTTTGTTATAATAAAACTGTTAATTTCCTGAGATGTGGGCAAAGGGAGAAGGACGGTGCGCCGGGACGGTGATGGCATGTCGGACTTGATCGCCCGGCCGGCCTGACGGCCCCCGTCCATGCGGCCTCCTCGCGCGTGCTTTCGCTCCCGCACGGCCTCGTGAAAAGCGAGATAAAGGCGTCGGAGGGAAGTGACGCGCAGATAAGGGCTTTACGGGTGGCTACCGGCGCGGTTTTACGCCCGCGTTTTCGACGGCCGCGCCGCCATGACGAATCCCCGCTAATGGGAGCCGCAAATGCAACCGCCGTGGCGGCGTTCTCGCGTAGACGACGGGGACGACGATAATGCCGAGCTGTATCTCGGCGATGGTGGCGGGTACAGTACTGCTTTCTCTCTCTCTCTCTCTCTCTCTCTCTTCGCCGGAGGTATTCGGGAAATTCGACGCGGCGGAGTTTTCAGCAGAACACCTCTTTAACCACGCCGCCGAGGCCAAAAAGCCGAATTCCCGGGCGTGAAAGCGGCGTGATATATTAGCTGGAGAGCGCGGCGAGATCTTGTTCCCATCCGCCGGCTTTCTTGTTCCCGCCGCGCGCGCCAACGCTATTTACATTCCCCGGATGAGTGTAACATATCGCGCGTGAACGCCCGCCCGAGAAAACACATCGATAATTGCGCACACCTCTAACCAATATCGGCTGGCGCTCGCTGGGATTAACCCCTCGCCGGCGGCACGACGTCCCCCGGACGTCGCACTTCCGCCAACCGAACGCGCCCGTCGTCGATCACAGCCCGACGGGATCTTATTGTTGGTTCAGAGTGACGAGGGAGCCTTAGGGACGATTGAATTTAACGCCATTTCATATGTCCCAAGTGGCCCGTACAAATTTCCCTGTTAATTTCACACCGGGTAAAGAAATAAATACGGTGAAAAGTAACACAGACGTTGTGTCGGGAATTAACGCGAGATTAATTTCCATAATGTGTTAATCGATACTGAAATGTAAAATGCGTTGTTTTAAGACTTACGAGCGTTGAATAGATACGTCCTAAAATTCGTCGAATAAATGCTAACGTAAAGGATTAATAATGCCGCTCGCACATTTGGAAAACGAAAAAGAGAGAGAGAGAGAGAGAGAGAGAGAGTCGCCCACGAGATATCGAAATTTGAATCGTACCGAGATAGCTGTCGGCGACGAGTTCACTGGGTCTCGGCGAGGGAACCGTTTACCGACGTTATCCTCGCCGTCGATGATAAAAATAAGTCCGTGCTCCACCGCGTCCCGTCCCGTCCCTGCGTCCGCCTACCGTCTGTTTATTGTACGACGGCGCACCGAGTGCCGTAAAATAAAATTACGTGATCGGCGATATGTAGTATAACGACAGTATCAGCAGTCAGTAGGCCAGCCGGCCGCGTCGCACAATAACCAGATGCGCGCGACCCCCTGGGAGCCGCGTCGTACCTCCCCGTTTCGCCAGCGATGAATATTCTGAGGAGTGAGGTGGATAGGTGGATGCATTATTTATCGAGCGCTCTGGGACGCTGGCCGCTCGACCGCTAAAGAAGATGCGAAATTAAAGACGAAGACAAGGTGCGTCCTCGTACGCACGATTAGCGACGAAAATATGTTTCCACTGTTGTCGCGTAAAATTCGCGTAGAAAGCTGTTACATCATTATAACGCGGAATTCGTATAATTGGAATATAATAATTGGAATATATAAATCTTCTTGATTCCATAGCAATATCGTTGGAATTAATCTTCAAGTTATTAAGGTGATATACTGATCAATCCTGCTTATATTTAGAGTTTCCTGTGTGATAGAAAATCATACAGGCCGATTCAGGGAGAGAATGAGTGTGAGAAATTTGGACACATTGTTCGGAAGTCATTCTGAATAAGAAATGTCGTATGAACATGGTTTCCAATCTCAATATATTTACGTAGTTACGGGAGTTTTTAAGTTTCACTATTATTATGGTAAAATCGCATACTTGACGCGAAATGACATATGAGAAATCAAAACGAAACGAAAAATTATCAAATATCGTTTATTTACGATTTAGTTTTATAATAAATATTCAAAATGAGCTATTTTAGAACTCATGTAACTACGTGTTATATATATTGAGAATAAGAATTATGTTCATATGACACTTTCACTCAGAATGATCTGTTAAAGTTTCTCTCTCTCTCCCTCTCTCTCTCTTTCTCTCTCCCCGCATTACCCTGTAATAGGCGCGATTTTTTGAAAATATTAATTTATTGAAAAATAAATAAATAAGAATCGAAACATTTGAAGGTTGAATATTGTAACGATATTTTTAAATGATTAACGTTATTTTAATATATTTGAATTATTGTAATATAACAGCAAGCCATGCATTGGCTTTTAATGATTCACTTTATCGTCTCATTGATTATATATATTTTAATTTGGAAAATATTCAGAAAATATTCAGAAAATATTCTGGGAATATTTTTTGAAAATATATAGAGGACAGACCGGAGTCCGTTTCCGTAATCTGAATAAAATAAGAGAAAGAGAGAGAGAGAGAGAAAGAAGTGAAAGAGGATGAGAGGGCGAGAAAGTAGAAGCGGGAAACAACGATATATCGCCTTTACCGCCGCGTGCATAAATGTCAGCTGCATTAACGATAACGCTCGATATTCGGCCGCAGGTCTCCGTGCAGGAGGAGGGCGAGGACAAGGGACCAATTTGCCCCCCGCTGCCGGTGCAGTACCATCCGGCCGCCTACACCACGACGACGCCGCAGTTGCACAAAACCGTCACGGATTACGCCGGTTGGTAGCGACATTAAAAGAGCGCACACGCTCGAGCCGTCGTAGCCGCGGATCGGCGTTCCCTGGCACATTCGCGGTCGCACGACTGTTAAAACGATCGGGAACACCGCTCGTTAGAGTTCGGTCGCTCACGGACGCACGTGGAATATCGCGAACCGACTTCCTTCGAGAATTTAGGCTCGAGATTTAATCCTTCGCGAATTATCATCGACATATTCTTTCCATTTTTCAACTCGTAAACATTCTGTTACTTCGCGACGTGTCGTGCAGGTTGCACTCATTTTTATATTCCGGCACTTCGACCAATGCAATAAAAAAGATATTTAGCTCTAAGCAAAATCGTGCAAATGGAACAAATGAACCTGTATTCAGGGTAGGTTGTCACGTGTCTTCCACTATATAAAGGAAACAAAATATATAGTCTCTGTTTCAACGTTTTTTAAATACTTTTTTGCATACGTTTAATAAAAAAAAAATTTTTATTAAAATTAACGATATTATATACTCAAATCGCAGTTTTATCTCTGCCTCTTTTTCGGTCGCGCTCTTAAGCAAGGGAGCATTATTAGTGCTCCTTCGATTCTACAAGGGGAATTTAGACCTCTCGTGGGGAAATTTTAAATTTTACATTCCTGAATCGAAATTTTAGTCCCACTTTAAATCTATTTCAGCTCTACATTAAGTGTTCAAACGTCTCCTATTTTGCTCCTTTAATGCTCCTTTAATGCTACAATGAGAAAATCACTGTCGCTTTTTTTACTTGAAGACTCAATGAAGAACTAAAATTTAGACTCCAAAGAACGAAATTCCCTTTGTAGCATTGAAGGAGCACTAATTGTGCTCCTTTGATGACTACGAATGAAAACTTATTTCCGTTTTCTCCACTTGAAGACTTAACGTAGAATCAAAAATTTCGAGCCGGGTTAAATCTTCGAGCGGAGAAAACGGAAATAACCTGCCACTTGTAAGCATTAAAGGAGCACAATAGGAGCAAATAGAAGACTTTCGAAGGCTTAATGTGAAATGAAAATTTCGACTCGGGTACGAAGATCCATATTCTCGGCTCACTTTTATTGACAAAATTACCTCTTAAAGTGGCTTAGAAACCGCCTGATTGGCCGAGGAGCCGCACTTAAGACGCTTCCGCCGATAAAAGTGACTTGAGGATATAATGGGCCTTGTTTCCTCCTACTTTAGTCCTCCTACGGACCGGTGTCTCAGCGAAGAACATCAGTCCCGTCTTCATGCTGCCGCTCCCGCGATATCGAGCGAATTAATCTCCTCATCGGCGAGGTCACCCGCGCTCCAGGACGCGCTTTCCCCACTAGCGGGCGCCCCTTCCCCCGCGATGATCGATCCGTTCCGCGAAATCAGCCGAGTCCGTCCACGCGGCGCGTCCACGAGTTCTCTCGGATATCAGAAGTCGATCGGCGTCCCGGTTGCATCCAATCTCCGCCGAAGACGTTTTCACTTCCGTGCCGGGCGACGCGCCGACTTGCTCCCGCATCGACACCCGGATAGTTTCGTGTGTTATCGCGGGAATTCTAACGGTCCTCCCACCGGGGAGGCTGACGTTCGGCGAAGGAGGCCGGGAGAGAGGGAGGGGACACCGAGGTTTCGAATCTCCGCGCTTGGTTTGCGCTGTGGCCGCACACCACGTAGTTGGAATAGTCGGGCGAACTATTCCGCTGCGTCTCCCCGTAGTTGGCACAGCTTGCCGGACACAGCGGCTGGCCAGTCGGCCGGCCGGCCCCAACCGGGGCTCCACAGAGAAACTGTTTGCCGTGGCGCGACCTTGTTTAATCGAATTAGATGGAGGTCTTTGATTAATTAACTATCGGCAGCGACAGTCCGTCCTCTAACACCGTGCTTGTCGCTACCCGTACCTACCCCGTCAGACTCACGTCCGTCGGCACACGGCGGTCTTCCCTCTCTCTCTCTCTCTCCTTTTCGGCGCGCGATCGCGAGGTCGAACGTCGGGCGCAACTGTCGCGCGGTCCGCGGCAGGAGCTGACGAGAGAGAGAGAGAGCTCCGCGAGAGAGGTGCACACGACCCGATGACAACGTAATATATCGAAACCGACCTGCCTCTTGTCCACCCGGCCCGTTCGAGAGTTCGTCCGTCGAGAACGCAATTCGCCGCTCGCTCTCCCGGTGAGGTGGAAACGGAAAATCGAACTGCCGAAAGCGAACAGACAACGCAAGCTATTAGTCGCGAATACTTCGTTGATTATTGTAGCTTAATCAAATGTCCGAACACGGAACAGGATTTTTCGAAAGTCCAGCAGACGTTTCGGTCGCAGTTCCGATCCTCTTCACCGGCGATGTGAGGAACTCTGTGCTTCTGGGTCGCTGAAGGGGGTTCTAAACTACAATGAGGACGTTTGACTGGTTCTTAAAGAGTACGGTTTAATAATTAACGTTAGATTAATCTATTATATATCTATTATAATGATGATGTTTATTTCCATTGGTGTGTATAATAAAAGAAAATATGAAAATAATACACAGGGAAATATAATTCAGGGTACAGTAAATTTTGTCAGGGTATCTATTCAAATCCGAAAAATTTCCCGAAAGCTTCCCTCATTTTCTCCAGGCAATTTGTTGAAAATTCTAGGTAAAATGAAAGTATTTTTTAATGTATCTTGCAAATGAATATGTATTTATTGTGCAAAGTCTTTAATATTTTTTCTTCATGAAAGGTTACAAATTATAAAATAAAATTAAGAATCACTCGAGTCTCAACGATTAAATTTAAAACATTTTGAAAGAAACTGTTAGGACTGTAAATAAATAAACATTTTATGTTGCATAAAATTTCCAAATTTCACTTTCAAAAATTACAAATAAAAAATTAAATAATTCATAAACGGTACAATTTTGATAAAACTATTAAAGTAAATATCTATCTTGATTAAACAAAATCGTATATAACACGACATTTTTGTCTTCAATATTGAATATCGTATTAGTCGTAAAATCATTTTCAAAGTTTTCTGTACTTCTTAATGAGGGAAAGATTATTAAATAAAATTCAGTCAACTAATATTTGTTTATAAACGATGATAAGTGTTGATTTGAAACTCCCCGATTTTTCCAGAGATAAACAAATTCTCGGAGAATTCTAGGTTTACCAGGCAATAGATACCCTGTTTATGCTATCATAGCAAATAAATGAACATATCGGATATTCCTTAAATACTATCTAATATTTTAGAAATCGACTTTTTAAGCCATTTTATAAAAAAAAAGGAACGTGTGTTTACATGAATTTTTCTTCACAAAGTGGCCTAAAAGATCACCTCCTAAAACATTGAATAGCATTCAAGAAACACTATATATATCCACTTATTTGACGACAAAATTTGCTGTAACCTTAAATATTTTTCTCCATGTGTAAAATACACCACGATAACAACATATAGATAATATTTTCAATAATAACAGTGATTAACATAACAGACAAAATCAAAATTCGCAGCTGACACGCTTCACTGGCTTCTGTTGGCTCGATACTTTTTACGAAAAAAAAAAAAAAAAAAAGGAAAAGAAGAAAAGTCCGTCTCCGGCGAGATTTCGCCGCGAAACGGACGATTCGTGTGCGCGCTTCTAACCCACTCGAATTTTCTTCCCGATTCGCACGCGGGTCAGGGATCGGCGAGGTGCAGCCGGTTATTCCGCTCCTGCTCAACTCGGCGATCAATCTCGCCCGGCCAATTCCGGCGGTCCAAGAATACCCGTCTAACCCGCCGCCCATACCACCGCCGCCGGAGAAGTATTACACCAATACCGAGATCTGTAAGGTGAGTCGCGTAAAAATGTATGGCAGACATGCGATCCGGCCGATTAAGCGCCCTGTACGTATGTGATGGAGGGAGGATGGGGGGGG